CTATATTATATGAGTTATGTGATATAAGATATGAGATATGGGATATGTGATCACAAAAGAAATAAGTTCAATAAAGAAAGCTCTTTATATCGAAACTTGACACATATTCAATCTAAGCATTGGCCTTACATCTACTCAGTTGCAGCGCATGCACAAGTCGTTTATGCTCGACTCTCGCTTTTTATATTCGGCTTGCACGCTAACCCACAGACAGCCAGCCAAGCCAAGCCAAGCCGCACCGCACCGCGATGAGCCGAGCCCAGCTGCTGCAAGTCATCATGTAACACCCAAGAAATATTGCGATGAGGCAAGCAACAGAGCAGAGTTATGCCAGCGCGTCTCTAATAAGTCTCGACACTCACGCTCACTCAAGCCGTAGAGAATCAGAAATTGACAATGCCGCTGAATCGGCGGAAATTAGGCATTTAAAGAGACGACGATGAGGCGCAGCGCAGCGCACTCTGTGAGCTATCGTCATTTGCATAAGACTCCGAGACGCACATTGCTCGAATCTGATGCCCGAGCACGGGCCCAAAACGTGCGCTGGACGCGTCCCATGGAGCTTAGCAATGAGTATCACTTAGCTCCCCTTCTATAACGGTTATTCGTTCCTAACTCTTGTACAACTCTGTCCATCAGCTCGCCTCTCGCCTCGTCGCCTCTCGCCTCTCGCGACGAGCCAGAGCCAGAGACCAACAGACGGCAGAGCGGGCGCTGCTCCAAATGATATGCGCAACAGACAATTTCTTCCTTCCACAAACTGGTCTCGCGTGACCCACAAAAAGCGCCGCATGCAAGCCACTCCAAAATCTCCTTTAACACTGCAGATACCAGGCGGTCAAAAGAGGCCAAACGAAATCTGCAAATGTGCCCAAAGTCTTTATCTCAGCGCAGGGGCGAGTTTGTTCATATTCTACGGACCCATCTGGCAACCCTACTACGTATGTGAAAAAGAATCTGAGCTTATAAAAACAGTCCGATAATACGTTTCTATTTGACTACCCATTTATGGAGTTGCTCTTTATTGAATTTGGTCTGATATTTTAATATGGATAGACTCAGACTAGAGCAAACTAATTCTTGAACATCCACGCATATAAAAACTCGCTTGACCAGGGAATATAATATAAATATAGATTTGAGCCTCTTATACACAATTTGATATTGGAATTCCAGTCAAAATTTTATTCTCAGGCAAAGTCAATTTTATGCTGAGTTCACGAGCTTATTTGGTATTGGAGGCCACTCCCTAAAGCCATGTGAACTGCGGTAGATCATATTAAATACCGAAACGATGAAGAATAAAGGCATAACAAAAATATATCATAGGTAATTATATAAGAATTTTATATTAAATTCGGAGCGTCAAAACAATAAATTAATCAACCAATGCCAACCTAAATCAGCAAAAAGTATTGCATATGGTGGAAGTCAAAACACAGTCACAGAAAACTACTTTTCACAGTCTTTGATGGCGATCCTGAGCATCAAACCAGCAATCAGATTCAATTTTACTGCATTGAAAAGCAAAACTGAATCTGATTGCTGTTTTCTTTCGAAAGCTTTTGCTACACTTTTGTTTTTCTCATTTATTTGTCAGTTAAGCTAGTGATTCAATCAATACATTTTCAACATCCATTTAGTACACAGAGTTTTACTCACTTATGGTTTTGTCTGACAATTAGTCAATCTATCAAAGTTGGGTTTTGAAATGTAGCCTTCAGTGGGCCTGACCCCATGGCCCCATAATTTTTCTGAAAGCCCCTTTGATAACTATCGATTCTGTCCTTGAGTTGAACCATCTTGAATGTATTCAATTTATAAATTGCCACCCTAGAATTTCTGTTGCACTTTCACTCTTACGGACAAAGAAATGCCAATAATTGGAAAAATTAGGTTTCTATGTTCCATGTAGAAAAAAACTCTAGATAATAAAACCATTTTAATACATTAGAAAAGAAAAAGAATACATTTTTTAATCGCCTTTGCGATCTGATAAACTTCTCTTTTCTGATATTAATATAAAGTTTCTTTGTTTTGTACTGATTTACATTTGCTTAGCTCCATAAAACACACGAAAGAGACATAGAATGTTTTCCTTTTGTATTCAAACTGGTTTGATCAGAACATCTTCAAGCTGAAGCCTTGAGTTTATCGACTCTTTGAATGAGTTTCAACACAAATACGTAATCTATCATAATCAGTCAGCTGAGCTCAGTCTTATATCATTGGTTTTTGCCCACTGACTACTCTGACTATAATTGAAAATCTGAGTCATTTGGCTGCAAATATGAGCTGTAAGCAACAAGAGCAACGGCGAATGCAACTGAACAAAAGAACAACTAAATTGGGATATCATTAATGAGAGTACAATGAGTACTATGAGCATTCAAGGAGTGTGTATCATCGATGACTTGCTGTCAAAGTGACTGTCAAACTGATTGTCATCTGTGTGTAAGTGTTATGTTAATTTAACACGCATGTTGTCACGAACAAGTTCGACATCTAACACAAAGGTTAACGTCCGTAACTTAACTGCTTTTTTTTTTTGTCTTTTACGTTTCTATTTTTATTTTGGCAACAAAACAAGATCAGCAGCAACAGCAACTACAACAACAACATCACGAAGTTGCCTAGCGGTTAAAATGTTGCAATGAGAACAGCGCTGGCCATAAACATTAGAATGTTCGAGCAAAACACGACTAACTGAATACCCTTTAAACTAGAGTGAATCGTTTGCGAAATGAAACAAGTTTTCTTTATATACGTAATGCCCTGCCAGTTGGCTTTGCCAGGCCCTCCGCTTCTGGAGTGTGTGCAGGGTATAAGCAAGAATACGGCACTTCAGGCCTCTGCAGACAGGCGACACAAAAGCAACAAATGCAAATTGCAGCAACAGCGGCAGCAAAATGCAAATTGGAATTGGAAACTGTGGAAAAGTGAGAAACGGCCACAGAAACTGGGACAGACAATGCCATGCAGAGAGACTAAGAGAGAGAGATGGAGAGAGAGAGAGAGATAAACGATATTCGTGAGTTGGCCTGCAGCGCAGCCTCAGCCTGTGCATGGGCGTGCAGAGAGTTGGCAGAGTTGCCGCCCAATTGGTCGTCAAATGCAATTTGGGTTAATTGCCGCAGTGACGCAGTGCAGCGCTGCGCAGCAGCAGCAGCAGCAGCAGCAGATCATATTCAGGGAGTCGCAGTCACAGTCACACTTGCAGTTGCAGTCCGAGTCGAACTTGGACCGAGTGTCCAATTAATGTGCGGAAATCTGCCAAGGCACGTCATAAAACACTGTCACTTTTTTTGCCGTCATGTTGTCTTGGGCTAGTTGGCTCCCGGTGGAAATGGACAGCTGCCAGTGGCTGGCTGGCTGGCTGCAATGCAATTAGCCCGGCCCGGCCCGGCCTGGTCTAGCCAGGCGGCATTCTTGTGCGTCAGCCTTGGCCATGAAACACGCACCATAAATGCTTCTGGCTGCCATTTGAAGATTTGAAGAATGCGCTGGCAATTAAAGCCCCATTGTGCATTAGTTAGAAATTGAAATCGCCGCCCGAGACGGTGGTCAATGGCACTCGAGCCAGCGCAAGCGACAGTTGCTCCTTTTATATCGCGATATCGCGTGTGGGCAGCTCCAATCGAGCCGCACGAACCGGTTGGTGGTACACATACCGTTAGCCTTTAGTCCGGCCTTCGCATCCAAAATGGAGCTGTCTGTCAATTAGCGCCGCTGCGACATGACAGTGCACTGAACTTGTCGCGCATGAAGTCTTCATTGTTTATGCATTGCTAATGCCACTCTTGATTGGCCGCGGACAGAGTTGTTACCCAAAACTAAGCTGACGTCAAACGGGCCAAGTGACTTAACCCGCATGCGCCCAGGCCACATTCACAATTAGCTATATTCGAAGAAAAAAAAGTTTTGTTTTTAAATATTTATTATATTTTTTGTTCAATTCAAATATTTTTTATATTCCTTGCATTTCTAATATTAATTAAAGACGAAAACTAAATAAAAATAAAGAAAAAATGTTAATAAAAATAAATATTTTTTTATATTTAGATAATTAAAAACAAGACCACATATGTATGTCTTTTCTTTATTATCTACATAATTAAATATTAATATTTATCAATATTATTTATTGCACAACAATTATTTTAAATTATTTTCTAATATTTTTTACCCTACTTCTACTTCTACTTTGTCTTTTATTAATTTTAAGATAAATATAATTTGTAGTTATTGCATACAATTTTTGAAAATTTTGTGCTGCCTATATATAGTTAAATTTAATTAATGTATTATTGTTATTATTAAGATATACTAATTTTTATAAATATATATTATTTTTCCTCAAAAATTGTTGTACGCATTATATTTTTGTTTGTTTTTTATTAATTTATGTCTATTTTTATTTTATTTATTTTTTTCTTTATTTATTTATTTTTCAACAAATTATTTAAATTAACTTTCATAACATTTTTGTACTAATTAGTTTTTTGCTATGCGCTTGGCATTTTCCAATATATTTTTATCTTTTTATGCATCCATTAGTTTAAGCACGTACATTATATTTATTGTTTGCAATATTAATAGAGCGCGATCATACTTATATGTAATTAACCCAGTCTATTAATACTAATCTAACAGCTGACAAGCCTAAATCGTTTTTTGCTATATCTATATGTATTCATATAAATAAATGTATATGTATTTATGTAGATATATGTTTGTAAACTCTCGCTATTTGCTGTTCTCTATGTTCTTTGCTTATCTCTAATATACATTTTTCAATATTCATTTAAAATGCATTCCATTGTTCAATGGGTTAATCACACACCGACACACACTCATGCACACTCACGCACACACACTCGCGCACAAATTCGTATTCATACTTAGATAATAATATCAACATGAGTAATGTGGACCACGCGTGCTGCTCAAATCGTAGGGAGAGAGCACTTGGGTTTCATGCTGGGTGGGTGAGCAGCAGCAACAGTTGTGTTTTGCCTGCGAAGCTGCGCGGTAGGCACTGAGGCGATGGCAATGGCAATGGAAATGACGATGATGTATCAAATGAAATGGTTAGTCGCGCTGCTGATGACGCTCTTCACATCTACTGCGGCTGGCCAAACACAGCTGCCAGATGAAGCGACGTCCGCATTGCCGTCTACCCCGTCGCCGACGACGCCGCAGCCCTCGCTGCCCAAATTGCCGGTGGCTGTGCACTACGAGACGCTCTGCCCGGACAGCGTTTACTTTATCCGGCGACGCCTGTACGACGCGCTCCTGGACAACGATTGGTGGAATCGCACCGACTTGAAGCTATATCCCTTTGGCAAGGCGGCAGTAAGTGGAAGAAGAGAATGAGAGAGAATGACAGAGAACGAGAGAGACGATTTAATTCTGTATTTCGTTTTCTTTTTCCGGCAGTTCTATAACAACACAGAGCTCGGACAACTGCAGGTGTTCTGCCAGCACGGCGACGAGGAGTGCGAGCTGAATGCTCTGCACGCCTGTATCCTGGAGAATCTGGAGCTACGGCAAGCCTTCGATCTGATCTACTGCATGCTGCGCTCCTACTTCAACAACATCGAGGTCTGCGCGGCACACCTCAAGCTGGACGTCTCACTTGCCCAGGAGTGCAAGCGCACGCGCAAGACGGCGGATATTCTGCTACCGTATGGCAAGGAAACGTTGTCACTGCAGATTTCCTTTGTGCCCAGCATTGTGTTTGACGGTGTAAGCACGATTCAGTTATAATTCAATTATTTTATCCTAATCATTCTCATTATCTCTCTCCCTCACACACACACAGAATTTCCAGGCCTATGAGCAGAACAGCATTCGCTATAATTTCGAGCGCCACTTTTGCCATCAGTATCAGCAGAAGTTTAATATTAAGCTACCCACTTGTGGTTAAGCACACAYACATACATATGTACATACATATGTATTGCAACAGCATCAGATAAATAAAGTGAATAATTTTGATGCTAATTCAAAATGTTAATTGTGGAGTATTTTGGTCTGAACTAAACTATACAGTAAAGAGATAGCAGTTCGTTTAGTGTGGAGCATTTCGATCTGCTCACTTAACGAAAACAGCTGCAACTGGACGAAAGGTGGCTGTATTGACTGAACTCTCTCTAGTTCTTAGTCAAGATATGAACCACAGTGTAGACTTCAATTAAATATTTCCCTCGAATATCGTGTGTTCTAAATACCTATATTTTAAAAAAGGTTATTTGAATTTGTAGTACTATACAGCTCCTACTTATGTAAAATAGCTTTTGTTCGGAAGCATTGAGCCAAAGCTGGACAGTATTATATTGTCAGCGCTTTATTTGTTTTTGCAGATGTGGCAGCACTTAAACTGGTTTCTCAATGTGGCAACGCAAGAAAACTGTTACGGCACTCTAACGTATTTTAAGAGTCAGATCAAGACTGAATATTTAAAAAAATGAATTATATAAAAATAAAAATAAAAAATAAATAAAAGAAAAAGCTTAAGAAACAACAGAATATTTTATATTAAAATAGCCATACAATTATCATATTTAATAAAATAAAAATAAATATAAAACTTTCATAGAAAAAGTCATCAAATAAATTGATTGATATAATAAAATAAATAACAATTGATATGTACAATAATAATAAACATATATTCAAAATGTAAAAAGGCAAACATATTCTTAGAAAATAATTATAACATAATTAAATTTTGAGTAGTGTCAAGTTTTAACTCTTAAATTATAAAAATTACTTTGTTAAATCTTTCGAAATAGCCCGCTAACAAGGTAAAACGAGAACGTGTTTCCACGGACGCTCGGAGAATTATTTATTAAATATCTGATTTCGCGACGCCCCTTTGGATGCTGCAGTGGAGTATTTTGCAATCTGTTGGAACAACACCTCGGGCCAGCCATTCAATATGCTTGCCCAGCTATATCGCTACAAAGAGGGGCCATACATTATAATTTGCCAGTCGATTTGTGCGCAAATTCACTTCTAGCCGCGGCATGGAAGGCGAATTAATGGGTCGACTACTGCGAACGGACACTCGGATGTGTTCCCTGCCAACGCTCTGCGTCCGCCCTACTGCCCTGCTGCCCAGTTATGTTGTTCTAAACAATGGGCCCACAAATCGATAAGATTACTGAAAGAGCGCTGATAGTTTTAGTCGACGACGATGACTGTCCGACAGATGACCGTCCGACGGATGCGGCAGACAAAAGCGTTTGACTCGTTCGCACAGTGCGCAATTTGTTGCCTGCGGAACAGCGGAATGCCCAGCGGGGCAGGTTTCAAGCGCGTGTCAGCAGCAGCAGTAAATGATGTCCACACAGAGAGACCACCGTCGGGCACGGCCACATTCACGGGCCTCAGCAGAGGCTGATGCTGATGCTGAAGCCGAGTCTGAGTCTGGGGTCAGCGGCGGGCGTATTCACAGCAACTATATGACAGAGTGGCTAGACGAACGATGTCCGATTGTCTGACTGCCCGCTGCGCTTTGATTTCGAGTTATGGCCGGTTATTGCAGTCGACGATGCAGCTGCAGCTGATGCAGCTGCACCCACTGCCCCCTCACCGAGCCCCTTAATGCCATGTAATCCGAATCTCAGTTGGCCCAAAACAGCGCAAAAAATTAAATTTGCGCACAGGACAAGTTTAAGTGGCGGCAAAGTGGAAATTGCACGGGGGCAGTGTGCGAGGGGGCGTGGCACAGATGGAGATGCGTTTTTGCGTTGCTCGCGTGTTGCTCTAAACGATGGCAACACCAGGCAACGCCCACAACCATGCCCCTAGGGCTATTTGGCCACTGCCATAGTCAGAGCCAGAGCCAGACCCAGAGCCAGAGCCAGTGCACGCCAAACTCGTTTGCAATGCAACAGAAACAAAAACTGTTGCATTTCTAAGGGCAGTAGCAGCAGCAGCAGTAGAGACAGCAGCAGCCGAACATCAACACAGAACAAGTGAAGAAAAATAGCAAACAAATTTACTGCCAATTTGCTGCTCATTTCGTTTAGAAGGTGACATGGCCAGGGAACATGCGTGGCAGCTGCGGCTGTGGCAGCTAGCCGCGTGGCATGAACGTTTGTGGCAACTTCGACCAGGGCACAAAAATGCCAAGAGGACTGTAGATTGAACTCACTCTTTCTCCCTTTCACTCTCCCTCCCTTTCGCTCTCCTTCTCTTTCTCTCTCCTATGTGTGCCCTTTGAGCGTATGTGTTTCGCATTTTTACACTTAATTGCTGCGCTTGCTCCCAATTGAACTGTTTTTGGGGGCAGAGCTGAAGCAGGACTGAGGCAGAGGCAGAGGCAGAGGCAGGGCAGAAAGCAGGCTAACGAAAAGCGCAATTGCAACGGCAACTTTTCGCAGGCACTGCACAGCGCAACAACAACAACAACAACAACAACAACAACAATAATAATAGAAGAGCTTCCACACACACACAGACACACATACGCGCTCGCTTCCTCTCGCTCGATAGTTGCGGAGTTTTTGGTTAGTTTTCGATAACGTTTAAAACACCAAATAGGGCCGAAAATGTTGAACAAACAAACTAACTATTTTCGGAGGCGATAATCGACGTCAATTGCAAAAGGCAAAATGCAGTCGCACCTGCCGCTCAGGTGACCGCCGCTGCCGCTGCCCCTGCCCCTGCCCCTGCCCCTGGCGCTGCTGTTCTGCCCTTTTACCCCCTTTTTGCGCCGAATTGCGCAATTTGCGGTAACTTTTGTGAAACATAATTTTAGGGCCAATTTATTGCGTGCCTTATGTGGGCGTTAAGCTCATCGCTTCACGCCCCTCGCACTGCACACCTCGCTCATCATCATTATCGCCCATCATCATAATCATCGTCAGCTGGCCCAACATTCAAATTTATGCGCCAAAAACTTCCGTTCGGCTGAAGTATAAAAATGGCCAGCAATTTGATTTGGCACTAAAGACTGTGGCCGAGGGCTGGGCTAGGGTTGGGTTATTCATTTAAATTATAAATGCATTCGGAATGTTTAATTTTTGAATAGCAGCAAGGACTTTGCACACACACACATACACATGTACACTGCCACACACACACACTGGCACACACATACAGGCGCACTTTGACGTCCGCATTTACACAGGCAGCACATTCGATTCGCATTAATCTTCATTTGTTTCAGAATAGACTGGCTATGGCGCTGCTGCTGCTGCTTCAGCTTCAGTCTCAGGTTCAGTCTCAGCTCTAGCTCCAGCTGCAAAAAGGACAAATACAAATCGAAAGCAGAAAATGTCTGCGGCATCGACACTCGGACGGGCAAAGAAAACGCAACGAACAGAAAAGTCATAGGTCATAAATTAGATTTTCCATTAAGCATATAAAAGCACCTTTTGGTTATCCTCAAATGCGTTCGCCCCACCCACCGATAAAAGGCAAAAATCCAACTGTGCTGCAGAATCGAAGAAAAGCATTGAATAAACGAATGAGCCGACAGACGGCACAAAAGGGCAAGGTGCAAGATATCCAGGCAGCCCAAGCCAGTCCAGCCAGCCAGCTAGTCTAAGAATGTTGCCGAGGTGCGCAAAAGGAGCAGCAGCAGCAGCAGCAGCAGCAGCAGCAGCAGAAGTAGCTGCTCGAAGTATCCTGTGCAGCAGGAGTAGCAGCGACAACGGCAACGGCAGCCATATTGAATGGATTTGCACAAACGTGCAGAAAACTTTTGCTGACACAAAGGATGCAAAAAGGTGAAAGACGCAGCGGGACGGCAGCCCTCGGACAAACTTGATTTGCTGCAATATTTTTACATATAAAGTACGACCATAGTATATACATATATATATATATATGTATATATGTGTATAGGGAGAGAGAGATGGAGTCTTAGCTGCTGCGAGTTATTGCTGCGAATTGCTTTAATCAGCGGCCAAAATGGCGCATTGAAATCTCGTAAATGTAATGAGCCTTTTTGGCAGCCCATAAAAAGTCATATAAACATTTCAATTAACGCGCTGCACACGTAGCCGCTGCTCAGTGGCCCAATTTGGAGAGTTCCACCTGACGGGCGGCGTGAACGAATGAGCCGTAGTGTTTGATAAATTGTAGTTGCCCAGGAGAGAGAGAACGAGAGTGAGAGTGAAAGAGACAGAGTCAAAGACGACAAATGTATTCGAGGGCTGCTGCTCTGGTCTGGTCGATTCGTTTCAATTCATGCCATTGCCTGGCTAATTTAGTGAGGAAATGGACACAGCCACGAGGCCACAACAGGGCAACAGGACAGGACAGGACAGGACAGAGCGATAGGACAGCGACAGGACGTTGGTGACGACACAAATGTGTCGTATTCAAGGTCATAAAACGTGCGACACAACCGGTAATCAAAGCATGAAATTAATTTCCAATTGATTTTGGCCCCTTGTCGTTCGTTGCTTTGCCAATCGCTGCAGGAAGTTGACCAACGGAAGTGCGAAACGATAAACAGCAACCAGGGCGAGGGAGACGAGAGGAAGTGAAGCAGGCGAAAGGGAGTGGAGTCGCAAAGGCAACAGCAACAGAAACAGCAACAGCAACGTCCGCAGCACATACTTCGGCAGGAGTAGCTGCTGCTGCAAGGGGACTTCACGGGCAACTGTGGGGCATTAAACGATCAAACGTTTAATGACACCCGGCCAGCCATTGATTTGCCAAATACATGCGAGCACGATGGCCAGTGAGACAGAGAGAGGGAGAGAGAGAGAGAAAGAGGGCGAGAGAGAGTGAGAGGGAGAGAGTGTCCCCAAGCAAAGCAGTGAGGTCTTGTGACTATGTTGAGTCAACACAGCCGCAGGGACAACATTCTGCGACGGCGGTCAGTCAAAGGACACCAAGCAGCTGGCGAGGGCTGTGACAAGGGCGAACAGCAGAAGCTCAAGCAAATCTTTGCAAAACATCGAGCTGCCCTCGCATGAGTGAGAGCTGTTGCCATTGCTGTCGGTGGGCATGACCATCAATATGAGACGAATGCCAATGGC